CAATCACATTTTTAGAATTGATGTATTGTTTAGAATCATGTTTATTCTCATCAGATTTTCTCCAGTCTGAACCAAAATCAACTTTAATTTTCCTACATCTGGCTCGACTCTTTGTTCTAAGCCTCTCAGCCCACGGTGAGTCAGACTCTGATGCTGCTCCAGGATTGGGAGCGTGCGACTGAAACAGAATAGATGTTAGTGGGAGGCGGCTTGTTGGCTGAAGACCACATAGACGTTGCTCCTGCAGATGCAAGGACAGCTTGTATTTGTGCAGCTGGACAGCTCCGCTTCACCCCAGATGATTAGTTTTGTCTGTTTTCTTCATCTCCTGCATTCATAACTCCTGTAAAACCTGGCTCTTCCTGCTCATTTACAACAAATGGTTGAAACCTGCAAACACAAGGATGGAGATCACTGGTTCAAGTCTAAGATGTGCAGGCGTGACCCTTCTCTTGTTTTTATCAGTGGGGCTTCCCCAGAGACGGTTGGGTTTGAGTTTCACTGTTTACTCTCAAACTCTCCCAACTCTGTTAATACGTAATCTGGGAAGTCTTCTGAGTGAAACCTTCTGTTTCTGTGACATCACAGCGGTCCGGTGCAACCTCCAGCAGAGCCGTGAGCCCCCTGGTGGTACCTGGAGACTTCAGTCAGCCGGCGAGTCCCTTTGGCTGCCTGGACAACTCTGCTGCCAAACACAAGCTGGGCCTCAGGCACAAAGCCTACAACAAAAGGAAACCTGCCAGTGTAGGGACACACACACACACACACACACGAAATTAGTTTTCCGTCACAAGCATCAACTCTACAAAGGTGATGGATTCAAATAAAGAAATCTTTGTGGTTAATATCGTACCCAAAGCCCCACAGAAACATCTGGAAAACATCCCATAGACACACTTAGTAGTGTGGGGATCATCAACATGATGTTCTCGTGTTCTTGAATGACCGAGTGAATCAATCCCTCATTTTGCAAACAGGAGTTGGGTCTGAATGTCCTGCAGGGTTGTGTCTTTATCCGGGTTAACGTGACCAGACCCCGCGCCGGCAGCTGGTTCTGCTGGTGTCAAAGCTAAAGGCTCGTTTCTGTGCAGAAGCTCGAGTTGAACGCAGAAGAAGATTGCAGACCAGAGGAGGTGATAACCATCTTCGTGCCAGGAGCAGGAACTATGGAGCAACAAGTGAAAGAGACGTCAGAAGGTCAGACGCTGTTCTGCTGCTGCTGCGTTGAATTTAGGTTTCTTTTTTTTTTAACTTCATTTATAGAAGTTCCCAAATGTCTATATTCAGCTAGTTTACTTTCATTTCGCATGAGTGAGAATCTCAGTCATTTGGGAGGGGCTCGGAGTAGACCCGCTGCTCCTCCACATCGAGAGGAGCCAGTTGAGGTGGCTCGGGCATCTAGATAGGATGCCTCCTAGACGCCTCCATGGTGAGGTTTCCTGGGCACATCCAACCAGGAGGAGGCCTAAGGGAAGACCCTGGACACGCTGGAGAGACTGTCTCACCCGGCCAGGGAATGCCTCGGGATTCCCCCGGAGGAGCTGGTCTAAGAGGCTGGGGAGAGGGAAGTCTGGGCCTCCTTGCTTAGGCTGCTGCCCCCGAGACCCGGCCCTGGATAAGCAACCAAAAATGGATGGATGGATCTTTCTCCATGTCCAAACCAACAAGTCAAGCGTTCTCTTTACAAACTGAAAAAATAATATTTAACGTAGTGCAAAAGTTCCCTTATTTTAGTAATTAAAGGTGAAACTAATATATGACCTAGAATCAACACACGCAAAGCCAGATATTTCAGCCTTTATTAGCTATAATTGTGATGATTATGGTTTATAGCTGATGAAAACTCCACATTCAAAATCTCACACTATTAGAATAATATGAAAAGGTTCAATGTTCTAGATTAAAGTGCCACACTAGTCAGCTAATGAATCTAGAACACCTACAAATGCAGAAGCGTGTCTAGGGAGAGGGATGGGGCAGCCTGTGCCCCCCCAGGTGCCGCTGCACTGAGTTCCACTTAAACTGACTTCACATTGTCCACAACCCCCAAACAGCAGGTGGCAGCATTAACCTTTAACATCCGTTTCCAGCCCCAGGCCGACAGAATGTTCCTCTATTACTTTGTTTTTTTCATATTCACATAAATATTAATTAGCGTCCCAGTCCACGCCGGTTGGTTTTGTGAGGGATGACGACCTCTCCTCTCACCCCCTCCAAAAAAAAAAAAGCATGACCATAGGTGCCACCCCATTTAAGGCCTGGACACGGCCCTGTGCTAAGGGTTCCTGAGCCTTTAGATGGTCTCTCAGTCTAATTGAAATTACTGAAATAAATGGATTTTTGCACCACAATCTGTTTTCCTGTTAAAGCGTAGAGATTGCATTTAATCTAACCTTATTGGTTTAAAATGTAAAACATAAGATAATTATTTGCAATTATGTTTTTTTTATTTATATAAAAAACTGTAGGACTTTAAAACTTTGTTTGGTTTCTCCTATGGTTCTAATCTAAAACTTGTTTTGTTTTATTTCATTTCTCTTCTCGTTAACTCCCAATAATTCATACTAATTCCCCAAAAACCTTCGGCTGGATGAAGCCAAAAGAGTCTAATTCAGTGAAAACTGAAAAAGTGGAGTTTTTTATGGTTCCCTGTTTAATTACATGAAAATAATATATTTTAACAAGGAAATTATAGTAATAAATGTATTTTATTACATTTGATTATAAAACTTCATCCTCCATTAACCTGCAGCTGCGTGGATTTTTGACTCCAGTTTCTGATTCAGGTGAAAGTGGTGATCAGCTTGAACCAAAAGTAGAGAGGGAGGAGGAGGAGGAGGAGGAGGAAGAGGAGGAAGCAGCACAGGAAGCTTCTCACGCTCTGGACACTTCCTGTGTGCTTGAGCCGATGGTCTCAGAGGACGAGGTCTCTGATGACCAGCCCCTGATCTCCTCTGCAGACAGTTCAAGGTTTTTTCTTCCTTGTCTCTGTTCTTCTTCTTGCCCTCCTTTTTTGTTACATGATCTAAAGAATTTAAATGGGGTTTTAGGGTTTCGCCAGAGCCCCCTGCTGGTCTGAGAGAGTCCAGCCCCGCAGGCGTCTCCTGTGGAGCAGAAGACCGTGATTCCGTATCAGAGGGAGAAGATGTGGTCCAGAGGAGCGATGAGGTGGCGAGCTCCTTCTTAGAAGAGGTGCTGAGCTCCCTGAAGACTCCTCTCTCTTCCCACGTGGCTGATGAGGAGACTGAAGGTGTCGTCATGGAGACGAAGGAGGAGACGAAAGAAGAGCAGAACAAGGAGGTAGAGACAGATCAAAGTGTGGAGATGATGGAAGAGGAAGAAGAGGTAGAGGAACCTGTTGGCTGTCAGGATGCTTCGTTCTCGTCAGTCCTGTCTGATCAGACCCACGAGGAAGAGGAGGAGCTTCCCAACACTTACTCCCTAGAGGAGGAAGATGTGGAGATGGGAGAGAAGGCTGAAAGTAGAGAGGAGGATGAAGCTGTGGAGCAGCTCACTAGGCATGATGTAAGAACTGTTTAAATCATTGTGTGTGTGTGTGTGTGTGTGTGTGTGTGTGTGTGTGTGTGTGTGTGTGTGTGTGTTTAAGGATTTATTTTAATGTTCTTGGATGAACTCTGGTCAGCTGACCAGGGCGTCTAGACTCTGAAGCTCAGAGAAGACCGACCGATCTTCTCTCTCTCTGATACAAACCCTCGTTAATGTAGCCTTAAGCTCTGCTGTCGGCCGTGTTTAACCTCTGTCAGCAGTTTAACGTATGTTTATCTCTAGTTGTAAAGAGAAGATGTTGTCTCGTTTGATATAAGAAGCAGAAAAGATCTCCTCACAGAAGATGTCGGTACCAAACTCTCCAGGTTTAGACGCAGAGCCGGTTCAAATAAAAAAAACTTGTTACAAAACAGGAAAGTCTGATTCTCCACCTAAAACCTTTTTCTACTTCTACTCATCTTCTAGGGAGAGGAGGACGAGTCTGAAGAAGAAAACCATGCTCTTCAAAACCATTCAGAGGCCCAGTCGGAGGAAGAGGAGGGAGGAGCAGCAGAGGTGATGGAGGAGAAACCCGAGCTGGAGGAGGAGATGTTGGATGTAAACCAGGCAGAGTGTAATGATGAGGAGGAGGTGGAGGAGGAAGAGAATGAAGGGAGAGACGTTGAGGAGAATGAGGAAGAAGAGAGAGGTGTTGTAGAGGAAATGGGAGAGATGATTTCTGATTCCCAGGATGAGGAAGATCCACACATCTCATCTGTTCAGGAGGCAGAAGGAGGTGAGGGAGGAGATGATTCGGCATCCACCAACGGTGAGATTGTTCCAGAAATGAGTGATCTGGAGGTCGATATTGGGAGGGAGGGGCAGAAAGATCTGAACCAGAACTCTGAAGATGAAAGGGAGGATGAAGAAGAGGAGGCTGAATTAACAGAACCGAAGTCTGAGGAAGAGGAGGTGACTCATCCTGATGAGGCTAGAGAAGACCTGGAGCAGGAACACGAGGAAATCATCTCCTCCTTCACTATGAAACCAGTACAAGATCCAGAGGAGGCTGCAGAACAAACCATGGTTTCATCCAGACCTCCTTCTCTGTCTTCTCTCTCTCCTCCCGAGTCACATCCCGACTCTCCATCAGAAAAAGGTCCAGTCAGTTCTTCCAGTAAGACCACCACCGTACACATTAACCTGGCCTCTCCCAGCTCCGAGAAGTCCACTCACCCATTCCATCTGAGTCCAGTTGCTGCAGATCCCAGTGAAAGTGTCTGTGAGTCTCCTCGTCCACCTCCTGACGGGGAGTCCACAAGGTCATCACCTCCAGAAGAAGACCAAGGGCGGTCCGTCTGGGGAGGTGATGATTTATGTCCAGCATCAGTGCAGGAAGTGGTTCCCCAGCCAGCAGATCAGAGTAAGGTCCGCTTCACCGTCGCCCCCGCGTGGCAGAGGTCACAGAGTTTGACCTCCTCTTCAACCGGACACGTGTCCCCGCCTCCTCCACTGCCAGAACCCAAAGGAGACGACGAAGACTCTACAGCAGAAACCCCCCCGGCCGGTTCTCCTCAGACCACAGCTGCTGTGACAACACCAGGTGAGGAGCGATCCGGAGTCTCTCACGTCGGTGCTTCCCGTGTGTTTTCATCCGTTTAACGCCTCACCCCTTCCCCAGAGAGCTCCGTGGTGGTCGAGGGAAACCCGGAGAATCCTTTTGGAGTTCGGCTCAGGAAGACATCAGCTCTGCGCCGCTTCAGCTCCGAGGAGGAAACCTTAGAGGTGAAAACACCAAAATGGTGAAAAACTGATGGAGAATGTCCCTCACCCCCACGCTGATGTAAACTGTACATCTGCTGCCCCCAAGTGGCCAAAACGTGACAGGAGTCGATCTAATCTTTGGTTGGTTTACTTCTCATTCAGGCTCCAGGTGAGGCCCAAGTTCAGCCAGTCGGTGTTAAAGTGGACTCAGCTCAGACCCCCCTGTGTCCTCCACCCAACAACAAACCTGCGGTCCCTAAGAAACCAGAGGTCCACGGCGACGCCGGAGGGAAACTCAGACGGATCTCAGGTCTCACACCGAACTCTCCCGTCTCCAAGCTGTTTTACCTGCTCAGGTGTCAGAGAAACATCTGAGTCCTGTTGTCTGCTGTGTGTTCTGGATTCAGAACCAGCTGCAGGTCGAGGTGGTCCCGGTGGGTCAGATCCTCCCAGCTGGATCTCCATGGCCAAACAGAAGCAGAAGGTCTATAAGGAGAACTCGCTGGATGAGATCACAGTCAAGAAGGTAAATTGGTTTTTGATTGATTGATTTATTTATCATCACCAGTGATCCACTTTCCCTGTGAAGGGCTAAACGTAGAGAAGATAATGTCATTTAACTATTGGCATTAATGCTGCTGTTTGTCTTCAGGAGGAACAGGAGCGAAAGTCTTCGTTACCAGTCAGTGTCAGCAGAGAGCACAGCAACAAAGCAAAAGGTACACACACACACACACACACACACACTCCAGACAGAGCGGAGCGCGACTCGGCTAGCAGAAGCTACCCATTAGCATTATCATCTCCACCACACAGCAGAACTCCTCCAGGCTTTTGTTATTTATGGAGATAAAACACCACCATTGCAATGCAGTCAGTGGTAGAGTTGTGTTGCTGTTAGCCAATCAGAGGAAAGATATCCAAATATCAGGAAGTAAGACTCCAAATCCTGCCATCATCTGCTCACCTGTCCCCTGGCTTCTTCTAGTTGCTGAAACAGAAGCGCCAGAGCATTTTCCCCACAGAGATCAACTCACGAGGCGATAATTTGTGCTAGCGACCACTCCCGATTTGTTATAAACAAATGAACCTGGTCTTTAATACAAACTTTCATTGCCCTCAAAATATCTGCTTCGTGTTTATAAAGTAAACCGTGTAGAGTAACCAACTCACACAGGTTCAGCAGGATGGATCGGTTTGCACTTGTTTAGCGATAAGATGAGCAGCGCAGGGATGCGAGCGATGGAGGAGGAGAGGTGAACCGCAGGTCTTAAAGGTTAAAGAACCCTTAACTCTGGGTTTGTTTACTCAGAATAAACTATTTCTGGATCATCTCTCTGCACACACTACTCACTGTGTGTGTGTGTGTGTGTGTGTGTGTGTGTGTGTGTGTGTGTGTGTGTGTGTGTGTGTGTGTGTGTGTGTGTGTGTGTGTGTGTGTGTGTGTGTGTGTGTGTGTGTGTGTGTGTGTGTGTGTGTGTGTGTGTTTCTCTCTCCAGGGGGTCCTTCAGTGACCAGTACACCTTCAGCGTTTGTAGAAAAGGAGACCAGGAAGGTTTTTTCTCCTCCAACTCCAGTGCCTCCTCAGCCTTTAAAGTCCCAGCTGCTCCTCGTCACCCCCAAACCTCAGGCCCCCCCACCCACATCCAAGCCTCCCCCACAAACCAACTCCCCCCAGATGCCCCCAGCCCCAGCGACTCCCCTCCACATCTCTCTGAAGTCTCCTCCTTGCACGACCCCATCACAGATCTCCAAAACTGCCACGACAACTGACACGCCTGTTGTCACTTCACCTCCCTTTTCGTCCAGAACCTTCCCAGAGAGGCCCGTTCTCAGAGCTCCAGAGCTCCCCCTACAGGCAGCGTTCCCTCAGCGCAGACCTCCTTCCCCAGCTCTACCTCATGACGAGCCACCCTGGATGGCACTGGCCAAGAAGAAGGCCAAAGCCTGGAGCGAAATGCCACAAATAGTCCAGTGACGGGCCGAGTTTTACGTGGTTCTGATGCAGTGGGTCCAATTTAAAGCTTCATCATGTAATTGCACACATTTCCGTTTATCCCAGCTTCAAGCTTCCGATCATCTATAAACGTCCAGTTTTCCTGCTGTCCTCCTGCAGATGTCCCGTTAGCATCTGTTAGCCGTCTTAACGGGGACCACTCGTTCCAAACCATCTGTGTAAATAATACTTTTCTTTCATAATTTTGGAGTTTTCTTTTTGATTCTTCAGATGTATAAAGACCAGTCCAGCAGAAGCTTACTATCTCCACCCGTCTTCATGAGCTCTCGTCAGCACATCATTATGGAAGCCTTCTTTGTTGTAAATAAAACCTAAATCACTCGCCGCTGTGGCTGTAAAGGTTCTGATCACCATGTAGGAGGAGGTACCCACCCGCCGTCCTCTGTGACATTTACGTTACTCTTCTGGTTTTACTTTGTTGTCTCTTGTACATAAATTAAAAGCCTAATGAAATCACATCCTTCTGCATCTGTTTGGTTTTTCTTTTTTTTTCAGCTGCACGGAACAAAAATATAAACGCAACACTTGTTTTTGCTCCCATTTTTCATGAGCTGAACTCAGACATCTAAAACTTTTCCTACATGCATAAAACACCCATGACTGTCAAATATTGTTCTGAAATCTGTCTACGTGTGTTAGAGAGCACTTTTCCTTTACCAAGATAATCCATCTCACCTCACAGGTGTGGCATATCAAGGGGCTGATTAGACAGCATGAATGTGCGACTGCCCACAATAAAAGGACACCCTGAAATGTGCAGTATGATCAAACAGCACAATGCCACAGATGTCGCAACCTTTGAGGGAGTGAGCAATTGGCATGCTGACTGCAGAAATGCCTACCAGAGCTGTTGCCTGTGAAATGAATGTTCATTCTCTACCATAAGCTGTCTCCAAAGGTGTTTCAGAGAATTTGTACATCCAACCAGTACATCCAACCAGCCTCCCAACATCAGATCACATGTGACTACACCAGCCCAGGACTTTCACATCCAGCATGTTCACCTCCATGATCGCCTCAGACCAACCAGCTGGACAGCTGCAGCAACAATCGGTTTGCATAACCAGAGAATTTCCGCACAAACTGTCAGAAACCATCTCAGGGAAGCTCATCTGCATGCTCGTCATCCTCATCGGGGTCTGGACCTGACTGCAGTCCGTTGTCCTAACCGACTTTAGTGGCCAACCCTTTACGAGTGGGCCTACCGGGCCTGGGCCCAATCACTTGCACTCGGGTCCACCCCATAACAGCCATGAGCTGCTTTGACCAGCAACCAATACCCGTTTTTTCTGTATGTCAGTTGTATTTCAACAGGAGATAATTAACAAAACACTTTGTATAAAATTTACCCAGAAGTTAGTCTGTCTGTGCCTAAAATAATTTCATGTTATTCATCTTGTTAGTTTAATTTCCATAATAATTGAGCACTCCTCCGTGAACCGTCACCTTATCGTGGTGGAGGAGTTTGAGTGCCCTAATGATCCTAGGACCTATGTTGTCAGGGACACTTTGTGCCCCTGGTAGGGTCTCCCATGACAAATTGGTCTTAGGTGAAGGGTGAGACAAAGAACGGTTCAGAGGATCTTTCATGGATCTCAATTCAAAGAGTCAGAGTCGGGTACCCGGAGGGTTACCGGGGTCCCACCCTGGAGCCAGGCCTGGGGTTTGGGCCCGTGAGCGAGCATCTGGTGGCCGGGCCTTCGTCCATGGGGCCCGGCCGGGCCCAGCCCGAACCGGATACGTGGGCTCATCCAACTGTGGACCCACCACTCGCAGGAGGAACATGAAGGGTCCGGTGCAGTGTGGATCAGGTGGCAAACCAAGGCGGGAGCCTTGGCGGTCCGATCCGCGGACAAGGAAACTGTTTTTTTAGGACATGGAAAGTCACCTCGCTGGTGGGGAAGGAGCAGGAGCTTGTGGCAGAGGTTGAGCGGTACCGGCTGGATATAGTCAGACTCCCCTCAACACTGTAATGGTGTGAAAATTAATCTAAGATACTTAAATTAATAACCAAAGTTTATTTATTAAACAGAAGATTCAGTAATAAACCCAATCTTTTCATTCGATAAACTGGAAATGCAACCCTTTTCTGTGTTTCGTTTCAATAATGAGGCAAGTTTAAAAATGAAGAAATTTATTTACTAACAATTTTAAACTGAAAGATTTGAAGCGACAAGTATAAAAATGACAATTCATGGATGGCAATTTTAATGACAATCCTTAACAGCTTTGATATTAAACTTGTTTTAAAAGCAAACCTGTGACTGAATGGAGCTAAAATGAGGATGGTGAGTTTTGGAATGTGTGAATGAAGTTCTCAGAAGGTTTCTTTCAGAGGGAATGGAAGCGTTCTGGTGAAAATGATGTTTTGCGGATAACTGAGTTATTTTGAGAGAAAACAGCATCAAACGCATTCTATCGAGGTCTACCTCACCCAATCAGATGGCCCCCATTTGGATCCGAAGTGTCCAGGTGGAGATGGGTTTCCTCCAGGCACGAGGTTGGTAGAAAAACCTCTAGCACGGCCAGATCGGTCCTGAGATGTCTTCTTGGGTCACTCGGTGTATGAAGCGTTTGGCAGATGAACGTTCTCGTATTTAAATTAACTTCAGAAATCAAATGACTCTGGGAGAGTCTTCGTTAGTTTCGTTTGTTCTTTAGCCATTCTTGTCTGCGTGACAGAACAGCTTGGCGGAGGTCAGGAGACGGCCGTTCTCCTTTCCTCGTGGTGTTGGTTGAAGAACTGGACGTGAAATCTGTGATGGTTAGTTTTTACCAGACTCTCTCAGAACACTCCCCCTCTCTCCGGAAGAAAGCTTGGTCATGCATCAAAAAACATTTGATGCAGTTATTGTTTATCTGAACTCTGTTAGCTGACCGAGTGAAGGTCTTCTTTGATGAACACATCTTTATAATCATTGTAATAATTATCATTATAATACCCAAAGCATAATAATTAATTTCATGTAATTAAGATACCTTTATAGCTGAACCAAGTGATCATGTTGTAATGATTATTCAAACAGTAATAAAATCAATGAATTATTAATTATTTAATTATTATCATCGTGGCTTGAAGTGTCCTTCTTCTGGGATGGAACAGCAGATGATGTTATGATCTTGGCTAGACATCGTGGCTCCTTGGGTTTAATCTGTGGATTCAAAGTACTCTTTGACCCAGCTTGACCCAGCTGGGCAAATGTGACCTTTGGCACAAATCAGAGAACCTTCATGCCATTACAACACATAGCATTGGCTCTGGAACCCGAGACCTGGAGAGGGGTTGGACACTCTCCTTTGCTGGAGTTGCTCCAGGTGAGAGGCAGAGGGCTGGGGCAGGCTTTTTGTTAGCCCCAAGACTCTCTGCCTGTGTGTTGGGGTTTACCCCGGGGGACGAGAGGGTAGCTTCCCTGCGCCTTCGGGTCGGGGAACGGGTCCTGACTGTTGTTTGTGCTTATGGGCCAAATATCAGTTCAGAGTACCCACCCTTTTTGGAGTCCCTGGGACGAGTGCTAGATAGTGCTCCATCAGGGGACTCCATTGCCCTGCTGGGGGACTTCAATGCTCACGTGGGCAATGACAGCTTGACCTGGAGGGGTGTGATTGGGAGGAACGGCCTGCCTGATCTGAACCCGAGCGGTGTTTTGTTATTGGACTTCTGTGCAAGCCGCAGTTTGGCCATAACGAACACCATGTTCGAACATAAGGATGCCCACCGATACACTTGGTATCAGGGCAGCCTAGGTCACAGGTCGATGATAGACTTTGTAGTCTTATCATCTGACCTACGGCCGTATGTTTTGGACACCTGAGTGAAGAGAGGAGCGAAGCTGCCAACTGATCACCACCTGGTGGTGAGTTGGATCAGATGGCAGGGGAAGATGCCGCGTAGACCTGGCAGATCCACACACATAGCGAGGGTCTGCTGGGAATGCCTGGCAGAAGAACCTGTCAAGACTGTCTTCAACTCGCACCTCCGGCAGAGCTTTGACCGCGTCCCGAGAGCAGTGGGGGACATTGACTCCGAGTGGGCCTTGTTCCACTCTGCGATTGTCGAGGCGGCTGTTGCTAGCTGTGGTCGCAAGGTGGCCGGTGCCAGTCGTGGTGGCAACCCCCGTACCCGCTGGTGGACACTAGAGGTTCGGGGAGCCGTCAGGCTGAAGAAGGAGGCCTACAGGGCATAGCTGGTCTGTGGGTCTCCGGAGGCAGCAGACAGGTACAGGATAGCCAAGCGGGGTGCAGCAGTGGCAGTTGCCGAGGCAAAATCTTGGGCGTGGGAGGAGTTTGGTGAGGCCATGGAGAAAGACTATCGATCGGCTCCAAAGAGGTTCTGGCAAACTGTCCAGCGCCTCAGGAGAGGAAGGCAGCAACTCGCTCACACTGTTTACAGTGGGGAGGGGGAGTTGCTGACGTCAACTGGGGCTATAGTCGGATGGTGGAAGGAATACTTTGAGGAGCTCCTCAAACCCACCTACGTGCATTCCGAGGAGGAACCAGAGCCAGGGGGACCTGGGGATGGACTGTCCAATCTCGGGGGCAGAAGTTGCTGAGGTTGTCAAACAACTAAACAGCGGCGGAGCCCTGGGGGTGGATGAGATTCATCCTGGGTACCTTAAGGCTACGGATTTTGTAGGGCTGTCGTGGTTGACACGTCTCTACAACATTGCGTGGTCATCGGGGGCAGTTCCTAGGGAGTGGCAGACCGGGGTGGTGGTCCCCATCTTTAAGAAGGGTGACCTGAGGGTGTGTTCCAACTATAGGGGGATCACACTCCTCAGCCTCCCTGGAAAGGTCTACGCCAAGGTACTGGAGAGGAGGGTCCGATCGATAGTTGAATCTCAGATTGAGGAGGAGCAATGAGGTTTTGTCCTGGCCGTGGAACTGTGGACCAGCTCTATACCCTTGCAAGGGTGATGGAGGGGGCATGGGAGTTTGCCCAACCAATCCACATGTGTTTTGTGGATTTGGAGAAGGCTTATGACCGTGTCCCCAGGGGCACCCTGTGGGGGACGTTCCAGGAGTATGGGGTGGGTGGCTTTCTGTTAAGGGCCATTCAGTCCCTTTACCAGAGGAGCGTGAGTTTGGTCCGCATAGCCGGTTGTAAGTCGGACCTGTTCCAGGTGAGGGTTGGACTCCGCCAGGGCTGCCCTTTGTCACCGGTTCTGTTCATTACCTTTATGGACAGAATTTCTAGGTGCAGCCGTGGTGTGGAGTGTGTCGAGTTTGGTGGCAGGAGAATCTCATCTGCTTTTTGTGGATGATGTGGTCCTCCTAGCTTCATCCAGCTCTGACCTTCAGCTCTTGCTGGGTAGGTTCGCGGCCGAGTGTGCAGAGGCTGGGATGAGGATCAGCACCTCCAAATTTGAGACCATGGTTCTCGACCGGGAAAGGGTGGCTTGCCTACTCCGGGTCGGGGGAGAGGTCCTACCTCAAGTGGAGGTTTAAGTGTCTCGGGGTCTTGTTCACGAGTGAGGGTAGGAGGGATCGGGAGATCGACAGGAGGATTGGTTCGGCGTCTGCAGTGATGCGGACGCTGAGCCAATCTGTCGTGGTGAAGAGGGAACTGAGCCAGAAAGCCAGGCTCTCGGTTTACCGGTCGATCTACGTCCCAATCCTCACCTATGGTCATGATCTTTGGGTAATGACCGAAAGAACAAGATCGCAGATACAAGCGGCCGAAATGAGTTTCCTCCGTAGGGTGGCCGGGCTCAGCCTTAGAGATAGGGTGAGGAGCTCGGACATTCGGGAGGGACTCGGAGTAGAAGCAGAGTGCTCTGCTCTTGTCTGGGCTGACGTAGCTGATGGTGCGCGCGGTGCGCCCAGCGGCTGTCATGCACATTTTACACATTTGGAGAGGTGGGCTGGATGCTTTACTTTTACTGGAAAATGGAACATGTTATTTCTTAGAGTGTAGAAAAACCCTTACTGATGTGTCAAATACTCACACTCTCTGCTGTATACAGTAAAACTGTCGTTTACCGGTCACGCGACCTGATGTGACCCCAAACAAGTGAAACAAAGTGGGTGAAACTCAAAAATGAAGCGAGTTTGTTAAAAGAAATCCTTGATCAATTTTATTTTCCCTTTGACTTCCATCTGTTTACATAAATGAGAAAACATATTTTTTACAGATGTTGTTATAGCTAGCATGTAGCAGACGGCTAATCTCTTAGCTGTACAGGTTTAGCTAACAATCAGACCTTTCTGTTTCCATAAATAACATTAAAAAAGATCACAGGGCACAGTCATTTAGTACTCAGGAGCTGTTAACAGTACAGGTGTTGTGTTACAGTTTGTGTCACGATGATAAAATATCAGCATTACTGTTTCTACAGCTTCCAACGCAGCACACCTTTGGCCCTGCACAAAATAACACCGTAGGTGATCATGAGAAGGTCTGCCCACCAGTTAGTGAAAAAATCTAAACAACATAAAAACATGTAAAAATCAAAACTTTGTATACAAAATAAACCATTTTAAAGATAAAGCTTAGCGATCATTGTTGAAACATTTTAATTAGCCTTTGCTACATGAAAAACCACCCAGTCAGTCGCGTCAGCAAGGCCTCAGTTCCAATAAACAACATTATCTCCAAAATGTGTTTTGAGGTTTCTTCTTTTAAGAAGTCTTGCAATGAAAGAAAAGTGTTTCAAATGAAATGCTACCATTAAAGACAGACAAACGAGGGTTTATCCACTCCATGTTTGTGCGTGGATAGAAGGCACTGGCCTCCGTCAGGCCTGCTGCGACACACACACACACACACGGGAAACACAGGAGTACTGACAGAAAATCCAAACACTCGATGGGAATGATTCCACAGTTGTTTTGTCTTAGGGAAGCTGCTGAAAACCCACATAGAATAGGGCCAATGCAAAACCTTAGAGACGCAATCAAAAAATAAAGTATGTATCCTAATAGGTGGGGTCAAGGGTCAGCGAACAGCTTTCAGTTGTTTTCATTGTAATGTAAACAATGTTACCACATGCATAAATAACAACCAAATAAACAAAGTATTTAGAACATGAAAAACAACATGTGCTTTCGTGTAAAGATGGAGGAGCAGGAGGAGGCGGAGCCATAAAAGCTGGAAGACTCGGGTTCATCTGACATCATTTACTCCACAGACCGCCTTCAGAGTCATTCAAAACTTTATTTAAAAAAAGGAGAGATCATTTCTGGAGAAGAGGGGTTTCACTGAGCAGATGAAGAAAGAGATTGTGATCTGTAGCTACCTTCCAACAGGAAGTTCCATATATGGTGGGACGGTACCAGGTGACGTTTCTGTCTTTGCTCTGGTTAAACTCACTTGTCTTCTAAACATAGGGTCACTGGGAAGTGGCGTGGGCGGGGACAGAGTCTCTGTTCACCTGACATGCGTGTTTTTGGCCTGTGGGAGGAAACCCACGCATACATGTGGGATTCAAACCAGCAACCTTCCTGCTGTGAGGCAGTAGTGCTACCAACAGGCAAAATGAAATGAATGAGGAGCAACAGGAAAGTCAGGACGGCTGAAGACGGTGATGAACTTTGTGAGGACATCACGTGCACAAACGCTGATTTGACAACAATAGTAATCTGATTTTTCTGCTGTCTGAACAATCTCAGGTCTGCATGCCCCCCCCCCCCCCCCCACACACACACACACACACACACCATAACAACCTGAACACACACTCGTTCTCTCATTTATTGGTTTCTTCACACAGTGCATCAGAAGGAAGAGCGAGTCAGCAGCTGCTCGGCGCTTGTGAGCGACGGTGTGGTTTCCTCATCACCGCACCTTGCTCTGCGTCATGAAGAGCAGCACCTTGCGGATGCCACTGAGGCGATCCTTCAGAGAGGTGAGGGCGAGGAACGGCAGCTGGGCTCGGCCCTCCAGAGGAAGAACGGCTAGTAACCACCAACACCAGGATGGGCCGTTGGGACTGGCCTGTGAGGGCGGAGGGACAAAGGGTTTGGGTTCTTCTTTACGTCCATGAATATGATGTGAGTTTCATCCTTTAAAGGTTCTGCTAAAGATGTCTGAGCCATCTTGGATAACACTCATAACGACCTTGGTTTGAAGAAATAGGGATCGGTTCTGATCAGACTGATGAGCTAACGGCTAGTCTGGGCACATTTTAGCAACCTGTATCAATCTCATGTTTTATATCTGTTCAAGTGATTGTTGTTTAGTGTGTGTGTGTGTGTGTGTGTGTGTGTGTGTGTGTGTGTGTGTGTGTGTGTGTGTGTGTGTACCTGGAGATCCGAGTCTTTCTGGGGCATGGGTCCAAAGTGTCCTTCAATGCGTTCCTTCTGCTCAGCTTTCAGAGAGTTGACCCAAACCAGAGCCTGTTCGTACACGCCGTCGTGTAGACACTGCAGCTCCCGCTCAGCCTCACCCTCCACCTGTGTGCACACACACACACACACACACACTCCAGATTACTCTCTCCAGACGTTTCACCCCCCGTTCTCCAACCACCAGCAGCATACCTTGACATCCTCCAGGTACTCGATATCAGCTGTGTTGTAGCCATCCCTCTCGCGGTGCTGAATGACCTTAAACCTCCGTCCACCCGTCGTGTCCACCACCGAACGTCCGTCAGAGAAGAACTTTACATCCCGGATCTCCAACAGACACCCGTAATCAGCAAAGCTGAAGGCAGAAAAGGGGATTTGTCGCATCTCCTGCTCAAATGCAAAACTCAAACAGACTTGGTGAATGGCATTACCCTTTGACGTTGTCTCCCAGACACATGCCAAAGCAGTTGGTTCCCGCCTCCATGCACCTGCGAACCATCAGCCTGTAGCAGGGCTCGAAAATATGCAGCGGACAGGGCACAGTGGGGAAGGCCATGGTGCACACGAATATAGGCATGTTCTTGTTAAGGCTGGAGAGGAACAAGAGCAGGAAGCATCCTAAACCGCTGAGTCATGGTTCAAGTGTTATACAACGTCATGAAAACATTTCTACTTCCTGTTGTCATGCGCTGAGCTGAGCTAACCTCTCTCTGGTCCGAGTCTTTCTGTTTGCAGGTGGGCGTGTCCCGGAGGGCAGCTGCTGTGAATCTTCTCATCAGAGGTCAGGGGATTTAAGGAGCGGCGTGGCAACGCACCAGTGCCGGATGATTACTCAGTATTGGGTACCTCTCGGTCATTTGACTGCACTCCTCTTCAAGAAAGAAACTCCCGGAATCACGCTGCCTGCCTGCCAGCCACGCCGCTCACCCTGACCGCCTGCTCTCCAACGCTCACCTGCCCCGCTCGGACACTTTGGATTCCTGCGCTCAGCTCCCAGCCATCATCTCTGCCCCTCACAACCATCTCGCTCCGCTAGACCTGACTCGTCCTCCTCTCACCCCGTTTATTTGTATTTTCCTGCAGCTACTCATCACTGTCTCTGCTGCAGAACGCCATTGGACCCTCCCGAACCGCAGACCTTCACCCGCCTCCAGGGTGATTCTACCTGTCGTGGGTTAAACCACACCCCAACATGACAACTGCTCTGATGGGAAACTTTAATAACTTTAGAGTGTTCTGTGACAACCTGGGGCTGCGCAGTGGCGCAGTGGTTAGAGCTGTTGCCTTGCAGCGAGAAGGTCCTGGGTTCGATTCCCGGCCTGGGGTCTCTCTGCATGGAGTTAGCATGTTCTCCCTGTGCATGCGTGGGTTCTCTCCGGGTTCTCCGGCTTCCTCCCACAGTCCAAAATCATGACTGTTAGGTTGATTGGTCTGTCTAAATTGTCCTTAGGGTGTGTGTGTGTGTGTGTGTGTGTGTGTGTGTGTGTGTGTGTGTGTGTGTGTGTGTGTGTGTGTGTGTGTGTGTGTGTGTGTGTGTGTGTGTGTGTGTGTGTGTGTGTGTGTGTGTGTGTGTGTGTGTGTGTGTGTGTGTGTGTGCATGGTTGTTTGTCCTGTGTGTCTCTGTGTTGCCCTGCGATGGACTGGCTCTCTGTCCAGGGTGTACCCCGCCTGACTGCCCGGTGACTGCTGGAGATGGGCACCAGCCCCCCCGCGACCCTACGTGGACTAAGTGGGTTCGGAAGATGGATGGATGTGACAACCTGAACAGTTTGTCACAGAACACAGAACGTTGGTGAAATACTCGTTATGTCCTACAAGACTGGTGAGCTAACGGCTCTTCTAAACTCTTACTGGTTCTCGCTGCTTTATCTTATTCATATTTTCTCCATCATCAATTTGACTTTAACAGGAAAACGCAGAAGTTCCGGTGCCTCCAGGGGTCCAGTCCGTCAGGAATGTCTGAATTATCAGTTCAAATAAACGTTTGACATGAAACTGCTGCTGGCGGTGCAAACGCGCAGCACTAGGAGGAGCAGCTTGAGCTGTGCTCAGACTAGCCGTTTGCCCATCAATCCTGTGTAATGTTAAAACATTTTTTCAACAGAGGTTGTTCAAAATTTCATCTTTGACAGGAAGTAGTTTGTTTTGGGGCTGCTTGATATTAGGAAAAAGAAAAGGCTCAATAAATCCTAACGTCCTGCTTTTAACTGCAGCCGAGTTTAATTCTGAGATCGTCTGCTTTTGTCTGAAGTTGTATGTACTGAATCAGCCTGCAGGACAATGCCACTCGGTCGGTGTGGATGATATCAATCCGGCGTGGCATCGTCCACATCAGGACACACGGAGAAGGAGCAGGAAGAAGACCAGATCGGAGCTCAACTCACTTTGAGAGCTCTGCCATCTCCTCCAGGTGGATCCTCTGTCTTTCCGTGAACTCCGTAGGAAGATACTTGGATATCAGCCTCTCCGTTGAGACCGTCTTACAGTACTGCCTCTGGACTAGGTACTGGAGAGACAGACAGGGACTTTTACTTTCAGAAGCACTACCTTCACTAGAAGACATCACGTACTGTATTCTGGAGACCCGAGCACATACCTCGGACAGTTCCTCCTTACAGAGAGGACATTTTGGATTATGGTCCAAACATCTCTCCAGACACCGAAGACAGAAAGTGTGACCGCAGGGTGTTGTCACCGGCTCGTAGAAAAGTCTGGAGGCAGACACACACCCCTCCGTCAGACCCAAACAGCCTTACGCTGGTTAGTGTAAATGAAATCAACCTGACCTCATGCACAGAGAACATTCCAGCTCCGTCGGGTCCAGGAGGTCACCAGATACAGATCTCAGATCTGTCCCTTGTACCGTCTCTGCACAGAGACATCAGACCTTTAATGACACAAAATAATCAGTAGGTCACGTCTGAGCGTGCTGGAGAACTCACCAGGCCTTGGCTTCTTCTGCTCCCCGTTGCTCTCCTTGTTTTCATCTTCCTCAGACGTCCATTTCCGTTTGAGGAGACAGTCGTGGATCTTCTCAGCTTTGGCGTCTCCGAAACAACCCTCTGACCTCTCGGGTAAAGAGAGAGAGGACGCCGAAGACAAAAAGCCAGGAGGAAAAGTCTGAGGGACAGAGGAAAGATGGAGTCAGAAGGTCATTTCAGGAAAATAAAAGAGTATCGTCTAATTATTAAAGCTCCGTTTACCTGGACGGGAGCACGGACGCTGTTTTTGGAAGAGTGGACGTTTGAGCGGTCTGAGATGTGTTCAGGGACTGGGTCGGTGGCTGGAAACAGGATTTCACTCAGCAACTGTAAAACCAGCAGGGATGGAGTTACTCTGGATTATTGTCCAAACCCACATGAAAAGAACCTGCACGTAGGAGACGACGACGGCAAGAACTAAAAATCAAGGAAAAAGATAAAGAAAACTCATGTCCTGTAAAAAATGGATGGGTGGTTGAGTCTTCAGTTTTACATAACAAGTTTTTAATGTTCTGTGTAAATTTTAGAGTCGTTCCATAAAGTTTATGAACGTGATGTCATCAGAAAAAATGGCGGCGCGTGCACCAGCTGACGGTTTCTGAACAGAACACAACTTCTGCAGTTTGGGAGTATTTTGGGTTGGAAGCAAACTTAAAAGGCGAGGCGGTAAACCCTGATGAGGTCATTCCTGCAAACAAGAGATGACCACGAAAGATGCACGCCCCGCCGGCAGAGGAGCAAGCCGCCGCTGAAAAGGCAGCCGCCTGTTTGGGGCTCGTTACTAAAAGAGACGACGAGCTTTTCTGGTGGGAATAAGCAGCCAGGCTTCCCCAGGGCGAGGGGAGGAGCCCCGAAGTCCCCGTGCGTCTGGGCCACAAGCTCATCCAAGCGGGTTTGCAGCAGTCAGTCCACAGCATCCTACGCTGAAGCAGAAAAGGTAAATATGCTGGTTTTTGAGGCGAAAAGTCTTTTTGCTTTTTAACTATGTGGTTATTTTTTATTAACAGTGTTTGTTATTGAGCTTCGAAACGGTGAACGTCCAATCCAGCAACTTGGTAATTCCCCTTGAGGCTCACGTCATCATTCCCTGAAAAACCGTACACCTGGATAAAATGTGAAGGAAGCTGGGCGGTAGCGCCCACCACGCCGGAGTCCTTACCTTGTGAGCCTCGCTCTTGGCCAACCTGCAGTCCGGCTCTATGGACAGACAGACCAGGTACTCCCTCAGAGCCTCCTCCGTCCTGCCCAGTGACACCAAGGCCTGGGCCTTACGAATGTGTCCCTGAAAGTCAGAGGAGGAAACATCACACCACATTCCAGCTGTGGCGTAAGAACCTGGAGCAGCTGGTTCAGGTCAGCTCTGTCACCTTGGACCAGAGGGGCATCAGGCTGCAGGCCAACTCGGCATCCCTCAGAGCTTTTTCATGGTTCCTCAGGCTGGAGTGGATCTGAGAGCGGTTACTGAACAGGATGTGGTCGGTAGGAGCTGAGGAGAGGAACAAGAAGGACATTTAGTGAGTGAAAGGAGGTCAAAGATGCACCAGAACAAAATGGAATCAGAACCAAGCTAAAAACCAGCACAAGGCTAACATACCCTTTATGAACACCAACTAAAGAGATCAGTGTGTCACTTTTAAAAGGGTCCGGGTGGAAACGTGTTCTCTGTTCTCACCCCTTGGCTCATAGTCAACACTTTCAGATCCTTCGTGACTTTATTTGCTCTTATGACCCACCCCATCCAGCTGAGCCTACAGCGTAAGAAAACACAGACTCACTGGAAAACAGCGATATTTCATGTTATGAAACCAAATCAATATTTAAAAGCAGCGTACTGATTTTTTGGGGAGAATTTACATTTATTGTGTTTCTATCTTGTGCTGTAATTCAAACCCTGACTGCTAGGTGGCAGCACCTTCATTCTGAAAGAATTGGATCTAGCAGTAGTTGTGCTTTGGAAGTGTTGGGCCAGAGTTTTAAAATTAAATTCAGTCCTAAAAACAGCAGACAACGTTGTAGCATCGCGATATATCGTATCGTCTCCCCTGTATTGTGATACATATGATATCACCAGATTTCGTACCTATATACACCCTTACTGCTACGAATCTAAAGAGATACAGCAAACATCAGCAGCTGATCTAACCAGTCAACAGTTTTTTATTCACATAAAAACAACCTACAGTCATTTGTTGATGTCACGTGATGTGTTGAGTTTGGTAGCCATGTAAGGTCTTAAGTTATGTGACAACAAGTGATTCAAATAGATCCTTTCCCACACTACGGAATGTGTTATGAAGAAAAAGCCTTACAAAACCATGCAGCCCTATCAAGGTCACCTATATAGAATGTTTCATAAGTCTAAAGAATTATGCAAACGTCGCAGCTGGCCCACAGAGAACCCACGTGAGACTTTCAGCAGCTTCAGTGCCATCACACACACGTATGAAGTCACTTTCATAAATGAGATTAGAAATGGAGGTGTATAGGAGGAGGCTTCGAGGAGACACGCTGAGATATGCAGGAATCAGGCTCAGAGCAAGTGGCACACCAGAAATACTGATCAGGAGTGCACACTGCAAGGGACTTCATCATGCATTAATGAGAATGCACACACACACACACACACACACACACACACACACACACACACACACACTAATTATAACTCTGAGGCCACTGAATTCCTCAGCTCACATATAAGAGCTGCATGCCAAAACACCATCCTCAGCTGTAACCCAGATTCAGTCCTCAACTTTAGATTCAGGTGAAGGTGGGGCCAGTTTGCTCTGACACACACACACACACACACACACACACACACACACACACACACACACTCGCACGCACACAGGTTTTGCATAATCACAAAGATCCACCTATCTTTGTTTTCAAGCTAGCCTTTGCTGGAGGCTTGGCAGGGGATCCTGGAACTGAACCAGCAACCCTTTGCTTGTTAGTCACCTACACTTTTCCTGAACCACCTCTAGACTTTTGGGCATGACCGGCTTCATAAGAATCCAACGGGAACCGAAGACATTTATAACTCTGTTTTCCTGCTCTGTGAACGCGCCACAGCTAAGCGTTGGGTCATGTGACCAGTCAGTCGCACGTACTGTGTGTTAATCATCGACCTCACACAGGAGGTACCCTGTAAACGGTCTCATGTTGGATTTACTGGTACAATCAGCAGAGAAAGCAGTAAAAAGTTACATCCTAAGAGAGCAGCAAAACAGCTTCACTGTAAATACATTTTTAATGCAAATACATGACAAATTATGAATTTATTTCTTTTTATTATTTCTGTTAAGCTTTGTTGATTAGTTGTGCTCTTACAGCTGTGACTCATTAATGTGCATGCGTTAATAAAAGGGCGTGGTGCTGCTACGGCGACTACCGGTCCCCACTGAATGGTGTTTGTTCGTTCCTCCGTCAAGGGTAGCTGGCCGTCGGTTCTCCTGTCTTCAAAAGGCTGCGTCAGCAGGTTATGGGCCCAGAAAAGAAAGTGGAAAGCAATGGCAACGATTGTGTTCCGACGGAGAAGAAATAAACTGAGTTTTTGGGTCACCTGCGGCTGCTGGGACTTAAGGAGACAATCCTGCGCTCAGATGAGCCAGGTGAGGGCGAAGAAGATGATGATTCAAAGATTGAGGAAGCATACAGTACGTAGAATTAATCCAGTTTATGGATGACAAAAGTCTTTCCCTCATAAAGCGAGATGCCCAGATGATGGAAGGAAAGCCCTGCAGACACTGCGTGATTATTATGCCAACAAAGGAAAACCCCGAGTGATCAGCTTGTATTTGAGCTGACGTCACTGAGGAAAGCAAATGAGGAGACTGTCGCTGATTATACTGCATCATCCGCGCAGAGACTGCAATACCAGCACTAAGAAATGCAGGAGAGACGTTAAGCGACGGGCTGCTGATCGCGATGGTTCTGAAGGGGCTACCAGGAGCGTTTAAGCCATTTGCCATTCATAAAACACAAAGTGATGACAAGGTAGCATTCAGTGCGTTCAAAACAAAGTTAAGAAGCTATGAGAATTTAGATTCCTCCTGCAATGATGATGCTGTTATGAAAACTGGAGGTTCTGGTGTGAGGATGAGGGGGAAAGAGACTTAACTCAGTTAAGATGCTACACCTGCGGCCACGCGGGCCATGAAGCACGAGAATGCGGCCTGCAGAAACAGTGGTGCACATTTTGCCAGAGCCGCTCACAGAGACTCCCAACTGCAGACGGAAAAAGAGAGACGACGCAAAACACGCAGCTGATGAATGTCACACATTTGCCTTCACGATCAGCGGCTGTGGAGAGAAAAAAGTTTCAAAAGATCTGTGTGTGCGTAACTCTTGATTTGTAACTTGTGTTTACGTTTTCGTGTGTAACTTCAGCTTCTACACACACACACACACACACACACACACACACACCTGGTAAACACGGACAAAACTACATTACACACAGATCAGTTTACAAGTACAAAAATCCTTTTGAGACTATTTTCTCACCTGACTGATTTGTGTGTACATGGTGCGTTTGAATGCTCGGTGGAAGCTGGGAAATATGAATTTCCTTTGGAATTAGTCTAAACTTGTGTTGACGGGACAAATATGCTTTTCTGTGGAAAAATAGAGTCTCTCAGGATCCTGTAGTTATAAAAGATAGACCTACGTTTAACTTTTAATCATCTAAAATTGTTTATTTGGATATATTTGTGTTTGTGAGCCATGAAAACGTAGTGAAAGAGTTGTAAGAAATGACTAATACATGGCAGAGTTAGTTCTCTGAGTGGAAAAAGCAGGCTTCAAACCGGGAGAAGGCACAAGATGATGGTGCAGCGTCCTGGTGATCTTTCCTCTGAAGTAAGTAAAAGTAAGTCCAGCATGTTTTGCAGTCAGATTATAATGAGTCAGCTATTATTTTTGACCATTTCAGACGTTTTATAGGTCTGTAAGATCGACACACTGTCCCCAGACAAGGAAGTGGTTCTTGGGCCAGTTTGTGTGTGTGCACAATAATGAAAACTTTAAATGAAAACTAATGATGGGTGTTTCGACCACGCAGTCACAGATTCATGGTGGTTCTTTCCTCCTGAAGAAAGGATTTGAAGTTCGCTGAACTTAGTCATTTTCCCTCCGTTTTTCTGTTTCTGGTTCGATGACGTCACTTTCGTGAAGCACATTTGTAGTCCTTGTTTTCACACTAAACCTAAAATAGCATTTCCCCCCGTTCGAAAATAAGCAAGTTCTAGGTGTCAAAATGTCTCTCTCGTCTTCCTCCGCTTATCCGGGTGCGGGTCGCGGGGGCAGCATCCCAACTAGGGAGCTCCAGGCCGTCCTCTCCCCGGTCACCTCCACCAGCTCCTCCGGCAGGACCCCAAGGCGTTCCCGGACCAGATTGGAGATGTAACCTCTCCAACGTGTCCTGGGTCGACCCGGGGGCCTCCTGCCGGCAGGACATGCCCGAAACACCTCCCCAGGGAGGCGTCCTGGAGGCATCCTGACCAGATGCCCAAACCACCTCAACTGGCTCCTTTTGATCCGGAGGAGCAGCGGTTCTACTCCGAGTCCCTCCCGAATGTCCGAGCTCCTCACCCTATCTCTAAGGCTGAGCCCGGCCACCCTACGGAGGAAACGCATTTCGGCCGCTTGTATCCGTGATCTCGTTCTTTCGGTCATTACCCAAAGCTCGTGACCATAGGTGAGGATCGGGACGTAGATCGACCGGTAAATCTTTAAAATTCACGGACATCATATTTGAAATCCATGGCACGTACAAATGGAATTAGAATAGAGCGTTTTAGGACCATTGACTTGCATTCCTTTTTTTCAGTCTTCCGAGGTCCAAAAGTAGACGGGTGTGACTTAGGCGCCCTATGACTCAGTACAACCTTCTCATGCCTTCTCTCCTTTTGAACCACTCTGCCATGTATTAGTCATTTCTTACAACTCTTTCACTACGTTTTCATGGCTCACAAACACATATTTGTCCAAATAAACAATTTTAGATGATTAAAAGTTAAACGTAGGTCTATCTTTTATAACTACAGGATCCTGAGAGACACTATTTTTCCACAGAAAAGCATATTTGTCCCGTCAACACAAGTTTAGACTAATTCCAAAGGAAATTCATATTTCCCAGCTTCCACCGAGCATTCAAACGCACCATGTACACACAAATCAGTCAGGTGAGAAAATAGTCTCAAAAGGATTTTTGTACTTGTAAACTGATCTGTGTGTAATGTAGTTTTGTCCGTGTTTACCAGGTGTGTGTGTGTGTGTGTGTGTGTGTGTGTGTGTGTGTGTGTGTGTGTGTGTGTGTGTGTGTGTGTGTGTGTGTGTGTGTGTGTGTGTGTGTGTGTGTGTGTGTGTGTGTGTGTGTGTGTATTCAATGATTCATTTGTGTAGGAGCTGAACTTACACACGAAAATGTAAACACAAGTTACAAACCAAGAGTTATAGACACACACACACAGATCTAGATAC